GCTTCGTCTGATATTCAAAACGAAATCACACCACGAAGGAAGTTGCCCATAAAAAAGGGATAGCGTAAACGAGCTTGGTCAATCGGAGAATTTTTTGTCGCCTGAAAGGTGTAGGGAGTCGCGACCTACTACCCCTAGTTTTGATTTAAATACGCGATTTCAAATATAAACGAGTCTAAACGATAATATAAACGGATAATAAATTTTTAGAAAAATATCTTAAGGTAGTAAAGTAACGTAACTCAGTAATGAAAATGAAAATTTAATTTGTAAATACATTTTTAAGAAATAATACACTGATCTTTAAGTAGTTATACATTAGTTATTTTGACAACAAATATCAACGAAGCCAACGCTTACAAAACGATAAGTTCGCTTTGATCTCTGAAGTTTCGTACAAATTTATCAAAAACAGTCAAAACTGTTATAAACCAGAGTATATTTTACTATAGATGAACAATTGTTTCCTACAAAAGCACGTTGTAGATTTACTCAATACATGCCCAACAAAGCGAACAAATTTGGCATAAAATTCTGATTAGCTTCCGATGTAAGTAGTGTAGGAGACGGTAAGCGTCGCCGTCTTATCGTTTGGGTCTGCCGACAAAGACGCTGGTTTGTTAGCATAAGGCGATAGGTATCGGTTAGATTTTAAGTAACCTGATACAACGGACGAAATAAAGGACGGTGTGAATGCGACGAATGAATGCACGAGCGACAAAGGGTAGTGAGTTTGAGCGTTGTAAGAGAGAGGATCTGCGTTTTGTATTAATCATTAGAAATTGTAATTAAACTGTTTTTCCCATCAAAAATCCTACAGTAGTAAGTACATAGTAAACAGCTTTCCATATTTGGGAAAAGATGAAGGGAGAGAATCATCATCATCCCACTTGGAGAGTTTGTAGCTTTAAATTATCAGAGTCATATACGGGCCATGGGAGAAATATAACTGTTAAATTAATGAGGAAAAATATCTTATAATATGGGTGGTAAAATTTTAATAAATCTTTATATTTTATCTATTACAAGTTCTTCCGTACCACGTGCTATTACTTTTACTTTAACTATGTAATTCTTCTAACAAAGAGCGCTATACAGCTAATCGCTGTAGCGTGTTCAATAAAATTCAAAAATAATTAATTCACTGGGGAAAAATATTATATGAATATTTTTATTATAAACGTATCAAAGAAGACTTATACAAAATATGTAACAAACTTAACAATAATCTTAAAACGGAAAAAAGAAGCAGTGACTAGTGTTCACGTCTTTGGTCGCTGCTCGTGAGCACGCGTGTGTCTCGCTCGGTGGTTGGGACGGAAGAGAGCGAATAGCAGCGGTTGTTCGTATACGTGGGTTTTTTTTTAGTTATCTAGTTTCACCACTAGAGGCGTGACGGTAAGAATGCCGGAGGTGCCAAGCTTTGGCGTGACGGCCACATTGCTGTCCCTTATATACTAATCTTACATGGACTAGAGAGGGGAGACTTACATGTGTGCGTCTCTCTCATGAACAGTAGTACACTAGCGCATGCTCTTGCGCTACAGCACATACACTTAACCTTGCAATAGACAATGTACACATCTCAACAATAACAACTGACAATTTTTTTACAAGCGCGTCATTAGCGAATAAACTTTTAGCAAAAAAAAAACTACGCTTGTTGGAACTATCCGCAGAAATAAAAGAGAGCTACCAAAATTAGCAAACAGGCAAAGGATAGTATGACAGGCTTCTCAACAATATTATACAAATCGAATGATTTTATTCCTTCAATTTACACAATTGTACAAAAGTACAAAAAGTGTAAAAAAGTATTAATACTTAGTTCAATGCATTCTTTCGTTGAAATTGAAAAAATTGAAACCTGTATATTAGAGATAATTAGATTTTACAGTAGCATAAAATTCGATGTAGATGTAACCGATCAAATGGCTAGAAAACGTAGTGTAAAATCTAAATGTCGAAGATGGCCTTTACAGGCATTTTTCAATATCTTAGATTTAGCCAGGATAAGTGCTTATATTTTATATAAAGAAACGACGGATGAAGAAATATCGAGGCAGGAATTTTTATTTCAATTGGCAGAAGAGCTTGGGATTAAATATCAGAAGGAGAGACAGTCAAGCAAAAAATTTTCATTAAAAACAATAATAAACACAGCTACAGATTTTTCTGGACGAAAATCCTGTCAAATAAAATATTGTAAAGTCAATAAGACTAACAAAATTTGTATAAAATGTAAAAAATACGTATGTGGAAAATGTTTAATTTGTCTGATTTGTCATGCAATAAATCATTATTGCAAAAATGCCACATTTTCTATATTTGTATAAATCTATTGCAGCCCATTATTTTGGAGAATATTAGGGTTTCTATATATGAAAAGAGTGAAGCAGTAATCGTACATATCATCTTTGTGAATTTCCCATAAAGATAATTATTTCTACATAATTGAAGCACTTACTATACTACGCCACGCAACGAAACGCATTACACATGTGCATGAATATTACATAAAAATATACATCATATTCTCTATATCATTTTTTTGTCATTGTTTCAACACGATAATTAAGCTTGAAAACTTTCCATTTCTCTCACTGTGACGTCAACTCATTTCGCTTCTTTATAGTCTTAATATTTGTTTACAACCCAAGAGCTGTATCTATTTGTTTCTGTTACTAATTATTCGAAAAAAACATTACCAAGAAATAACTGTACTATTCCTAATACATTTTCTTGATCTTGAGACATCGTGTTTCCGCTGAAGGATCGATCATATGTCATATATCATATTCTAGTTTGAATCTCACATCATTCTCTAACCAACTATTGACATCATGGGAAAAATTTAACATCATTTTCCGATTCAATCAAATGTATTTGACGATTACTTTGATGTATGGGAACAATAATACTATCATTGTCGTTATATTCAGAACAACTTATCTGCATATAGCATCAGAACAGTTTGACAGTATATCCAGAAATAACTCACCATTTAAATTTTCATTATTTCTTCCAGACATTTTAGGCGGAATTTTTTTATTCATTATAAATTATTTTTGAAGTTAGACTTCTTTTGGCGCGTTTGAAAAAAATTGAAAGTRAATTTTTACGATGCGTGCGCATCCGACCCAAAAAATCTTCCGCTATACAAACCATGAAGTCTGCCGGTATTTACGATGCGCGGTCACAGCGATTTCAAATGTACGGCATGAAGTAGTTCGATATATCTCCCTTACATTTAGTATGGACTAATATCTATATTCAAATATTTCTATATACACAACACGTGTTTTATATCGATACAAACAAAAATGATTTAGGTATTGGAAGTTATTTATTTTAATTATCATATACGGTAGTAATTGATATTAAAAAACTGTAAATATCTTCTAAAATATCTTTAAGAACATTAATTATTTGAGAATATTAGTGTAATAAAAGTTTATTTTGATGTTAATTGAGGTATATATTATTATTTATTTGTTTTTTGAGGGTAACTTAGGTATGTATTATTATTTATTAGTTTTAATTCGTTTTATTTCTTCTCTATAGTGATCATCAATTTACGTTAAAAATGAATAAACTGGATAACATGCTGTGCGATTTTTGTTATGCCTTAACAATACGATGATAATTTTCTGATTTTAATGTAAGTATACCGATGAATTACAAGTCGTTTTCTTTATCCTGATATTATAACAAACAATAGTATGTAGAATAGCAATATTCTGTTTATGTAAAATACTTTACCGAGTAAAATTTATGTATTACATTGTTTTTTAATTCAATTTATGGTGCTCTGCTTCTCTTTTTATATTTTTTATATTTCATACACACACACACACATAAACTACAATCTTAAATAGTTTTATTTAAGTATGTGGCTCTACTTTTTCTATTCCAATAGAAGACCGTAGCACACCCAAGAAAAAAACTACATTCCAGCATCGGATCTATGCGTATAAATTTTATTTTCCAATGGCTTACAATATAACAATTTCTTTTTACTAACTGTCTCCTTCGTAGAGATTTCATGTGAGTTATTATGTGAATAGAATTCAACCATAGTTGCAAGGAATAAGCAAGACCATGAATCTGTTAAATGGTAAAAAAAATATTCTTGCATCTGAAGGAAACTATTATTTTTATTCTCTTGAAAATTCTCTTGAAAAATATTTATTCAGAGCATTAGAAAACTTAATCTCGCCGCATAGATGATCATTTATTTTACTGGAAGAGAGAGTGCATTATTTTCAACAACGATAAGAAGAAGCCGAAGATACTGAAATCATTAAAGATTTTGGAAGACACTGTCTTCTTTTTATTCACACTAGGAAGAAACAATGTGCATTAATATTCTATCAAAAGAATTGAAAAATAAATGCATCTTAGTTATTTATAAATTATTTTCTACAATAATTCTTATTAAACTATAATCTCTTGCAGCCTTTTGACCAGTATCAGTATACTTTTAAATTTTTTTTTCAGTTTTTGAGATTTCTAAAACAAATGCGGAGAAGTGTATTGCTTATTAATATCGTTATAAAAATGTATCTAAAAGAAAGTATTCGTCACAAAAACAAATGTGGAACGTTATAAAGGCATATAGGTTGCGAGAAAAAATTTTTTGTTACGCTAAAAAAGTATAACTTCTTACATGCGTACATAAGTAAACATACCAGTTTTTTTTATTAAATGAATTTCTGTCGATTTAAAATGTATAATACGTAACTAAAAAAAATTTAATATAAATAAATATAAAAGTAAGAAATTTGTTGATGTTATATCAAAAGGGTAGTCAACTATCAACTAAGGCCTTTATTTATGGAAATAGTTGTGTAGCTATGATGAAAAAAATTAATAAACACTATTACTATTCCTAATAATTTGACAAATGATGCAACGAGAAAATTAATTTTAGTTGACGAAGATATAAGCCGTATATATGACATAAAATATTTCACACAAATCAAATTTTTTAATCGTAAAAAAAATAGTTTCTTAGAAAATATTTTTTTCTACTTTTTTTTTTCTTTGATACAAACATGCTACTAAAAATTCTAATACGCGAAAATGTTAAATGTCTGTACTTACACGCAAAAATATAATTACATCTCGTAATATAATTGACTTTTATCCTCGTATGTGTAATGGAAGAAAAAAATAAAAAATCCAGTTTCTAAATTAATCTTTAAATTTGTGAGAGTTTAACGATAAAAATGTAACGCGTATATAATATGCAAAAGAAAAGAAGAAAAAATGAAGAAAAGAGAAAGAAGAAAATTATGTGAAAGGGAGAAAGAGAGATGAAAAAAAAGCGAAACGATATGAATACAGATATAAAGAAAGAAAAAAGGACGAAAAAGAAGAAATAAGATCAAAAGAGAGTAAGTATGCTCCTGTTTTCCGTAATAATATTTGTACAGGTAAGAGAAGCTGAAATTTCTTTTAACAGTAGTCTCAGAAAATACGAAGGATGCCTTTCCTTCTATACTTCTTTTTTCATCATGCTTTCGTTTACCCGTCTCGCTTTTTCTAATTAAAACAAAAGGACTTGCAACCGTAACAATAGACCTTGTGGCGCACTGGAGTGCAATTTAAAGGAAAAACAGTTATCATTATCATCAAAAAACGAACAAAACGAATCGCAAACAGAATTCAGGATTGTGATTTTCACTGAACTTCGACTTGTTTCATTTACTTTCTTTTTCCGTATTATTATTTTCTACTAATTCTCGGTTTTTAATTAAAAACAGTTAAGCATGCAGTAACTTAATTGATGGAATTTCACCTTTCTAGGAATACAAATCCCTTTGGTATAGTCTGTAAACATTTAAAGCCCGTATTTTTTTTTGTAATTATAAAGAGAGATATTCAACCTGAATTCAATAAATATGAACCTTTAAATAGAGATTGCAAATAAATTAAATATTTTCAAGAATATTATATTTACATCTATATCTTACGTTAAAATTGATTATTGCAACATCAGAATCTTATTGGTCATTTACCAAGGATTATAGAACATAACGTGTATATCGAATTTAAATATGATGAAAAATTTAAATTAATTAAAAAAAATAATATTTGTTATATATAAAATATAGAGTACAGAAACTATAGTTACAATGCATGTTTTTTCTTAAAACGCTTTTTCTCGAAATTAATATCCACAAAGAAGGTTACTAAATTAATAAACATTAAATTCCACCAGAAAAACTTTCATTAACATTGAGACATTGTTGTATTAGTTTATTTTAAGTATAATGAACCGTCACAGATTCTAGGTTTTCAATAGAGGTTCTATACAGTTATACTCGAAAATTTTCTTTATTGGATCTTAATGAAGAAGAAAAAGTAAAAAGAAAAGAAGGGAACCTATAAAAGCAACTATATATATATAAACTTTCCTAACGAAAGCTAGATGTACAAAAAAAATAACCTTAAAAGCACTTGCTATTTACACCACACTGCGTTTTTACGAGCAGTTGGCCCTTTATCTAAATCAATTTTGGCTAGTACTTATATTAGCCATATGAACTAACTTTCTTTTATCTTTCTCCCCTCCCTCGACCCTTGTACATCATCTTACTCATCTACACTTTAGAAATTACAAGGGAAGCGACATATAATAACTATCTATAGTTTATCTTGTGTGGAGAAACGCTCTTATATGAAAATGTAAATATTGAATTAAAACAAAAATTCGTGGCGTTTTTCTTCATTTGGAAAAATATTTTTTTTTTTAGGCCCAAAAAAAACATTGAAAGAAAAGAAACAATCGTTTATCGAGGATGAGAAAGTAGTAATCTTCAACTTGAAAATAAAAAGTAGATTTAAACATATATTTTAGTTTTTCTACAATGATATTGAACAGACGTCTTATTTATTAATTAGGACAATGAAGTAATTAAAAAAAATTCTAATAAATTTATATTATAGAATAAAACATAAAATCAAGTTTTTCGACCTAGTATTACTCTAATATTAATCTTGTTTTATCGATTTGACAAAATACAAGAAACAGAACGTTTTCTTGTTAATTCAAATGTAGAAAAAAGGATGATCACATTGCATTTTTTTTATTATATCAATTACAGGATTTCTATAATTCAATTATTGATATGTGATATACATTTTTCGTGTTTTCTCTACTTGAACTAAAAATATTAAAGGATAACGAAACAAAAAGGAAAAAAAAATGAACGCTTTTTATGTTTTTTCAATTGGATAAGATTGGACGAATTTATATTACAACTCAATAATTAAATAATCTAACCTACATAATTAATTTAATAATGTAACGGCAGTATAATATATTAATATTACTGTAAGAAGTAATGAATGACGCTCGCGTA